CCGCGAAGGCGCGGATGGGCAGCCCGGCCGCCAGCGCCGGGAAGACGCGGTCGAACTCCCGGAAGCTGTCGAGGCTGCGCAGGATGAGCGCCCGCTGCGCGTCCTGCCGCGCGGGGTCGCTGCCGAAGAGCGTCAGGTACCCGGCCTCGAACATCACGCGCGAGCAGAAGGCGTACAAGCCCTCCGTCACCCAGGCGCGCGCGCCAGCGCCGCCCGCCGGCCGCAGCGCGAGCTGCAGGTTGTCCATCATGGCCTCGGCCAGCGCGCCCAGCGCGGCGCCCTGCAGCGTCTTGGTGAACGTGCTCTGAATGTTCTCCGTGGTGTTCCCGTCGCTGGGGTCGATGCTTCTGTGCCCAAACGCCTGTGGGCGAGGAAGAGGCGGGGAGGAGGGCGGTGAAGGCGGCGGCGGCGGGGGCGCCGTTCCCGGCCCGCCGCTTCCCAGACGCCCGCAGGCGTCCTGCCCGGGGCAGAACTGCAGCCCTCCTGCAGCGGCTCGTCCTGGGGCCCAGCCGCCCTCGCTTCTCGCGCTACTGCGCTCACTTGCGCGCTAATTGGATCCCGACCAGTAATGCTTTTAGCGTTGGTGCTGCCTTGTACTCCTTGAGCTGCACCTGCAGCTGACTGTGAGCCACTCCGTGGCAAAGACTATCTAAGAATTCTTTGAAGAAACTCGGTAAGAATTTCCTCTGTATTAGAGTGGATTCCTTAGAACATGGCCCGAGAGTGGTAAAACAACTGTACCATTTCAAACTTTCCAACACATGCGCTCTGCATACTGTGTACACATCATTGGCAGGATGAGTTTGTACCTGACTTTTTTTTTTTTTTTTTTTTTATGGCTTTTTGAGACAAGGTCTCCCTATGCAGTTCACGCTGGCCTTGAGCTAGCTTTGTAGCCCAGGCTGGTCTCGAACTCGCAACGATCCTCCTGCCTCAGCCTCCCGAGTGCTGGGATTACAGGTGTGCGCCACCACACCCGGCGGTACCTGACTTTTGGATAGTTCCATCTGTCTCAGTAAAGCATTTAATTTTTATTTTGACCTCATTGGCTAGTCAACAAATGAGAAATCTATAACTGCTGTGAATTTTTTAAACTACTAGGATGCTGTGTCTATTTTCATTTATTATGTTTTATGACTGTCCACAACAGGGCACCTCTCAACACCTCTGTCATGCAGTATAAGAATATGAACATTTCTAAATGCACTTACACTCTTAAAAACTAGGAAACAAACAGAATTCTGTATAAATGCAGAAGTTACCTTTGCAGAAGTAGTGTAGTGAAATTTTTTCCAATCAAAATATTTTCCATGACACAACACTTTATGGTATGACAAGGAATTTGTAATGAAATGGACATATTTTCCCATGAGTTTGCAGGTAAAAACATGACCATGTTTCCTTTGATTTGCTCTGAGGAACTCAAGAGGATTGGCTCCAAATTTCAGAGCACAACCCAAATATGGAATCAGCCCATTCTCCAGAGGTGGCTCGCCTATTTTCCTGTGAGACATAAATATATGATAGATACAAAAAAATACATATTTAGTATCTCTTTTATAACAGGCTTAAAATTCTGTGCTGACTTCAAACTTCAAAATCCTAGTTTATAGATACTTCTTTTGTTCATGGGGCCATGCTCTTTACTAAAATAATGTGTTTCATTAATCTATAACATGATTTAATCATGATAATCTATCCCATGGTATGTTGGAGAAAATGATTAACTCATCCATCTATCCATCCATGCATTCACCAAGCACTTATTGAATGTCTACTATAGGCTCACCATGTTTCCCAAAGATAGGAGTGAAAGGATCCACATTTACCATTGGTAATGTCAGTACTGAACAGGGAAACTATCATTATTTGTTCTATTAAATTTAATAAATGATAGCACTTTCAAAATGTAAATAAAAATTTTGTATAAAATATTAACATGTATAAACATAGAAAACCAAATTTATTGTTTAGTAATAAAGATAAAAGAACACTAATAAATGAGCTAAAAGAAAATTTAAAGAACTCTCCTTACCTTCTTCTTATTCCAAAAATGAGCCATAAACAACAGGGTACTACTACAGCGATCCCCCAGATCAGATATGCCGTCATAGTCATCCTTTTGCAAAGCTTGTGCAAAACTCCTAAAGAGGAAAACCTGTGACTAGAAAAGAAAGGATGTACCTGAACAAAGACTCAAGCTAGACTCTTTATATACATGGAACCCTGATCCAATAACTTGACCTTTAGTAACTAAAGCAATTAATCATTTGTTCAACCAATTAGGAAAAAAAAAAGAAGTAGTATTAACTGTCCTTGAACTAAGTCCCTACTATCAGAAGAGGTTCCAAAACAATCAGAGACCTGCAATACTTGATAAGCTGAAGGTCTTCTCAAACATCTGTTGACTTAACATTCAGACCTGGGGACGACAGCTAATACTAAGGTTGGGTATGTCTATAAAAAGAACAAATAAACTAGTCCAAGATAAACATATCTAATAAAGATTTAAAATATAATTTAAATAAATTAAGCATGTTATTCGTCAAACTAATGATTTTATCTTGATGGAATTAATTTGAGTAATTTACCAGAAAGAGTATGATAAAGTTCAAAAGAAGTGGGGAATATTTCTCTTGTCTCATGTTTTATTGCCTCTGCAAAACCTTAGATTCTTTACACAGATGGTGACACGCTACCTAACATTGGTAAGAAAGTATTCCACGTGAATACAGCTTCTAAATAAAGCACAGTTTGTTTTAAGCATCCAAACTTTATGAATCATCTTTGCAAGTAAAATATGTTTATTAATTTTCCAATCATTAAAATAGTATATTTTATTTCAAATAATATAAGACTAATGGAAGCAATTATTGGTAGGAAGTGAATATCAATTCGTAGTTTGCATCCTGTACTATTCCCACTCGAAAGTACCCACTGTGAACTTTGTGGCATACACGCTTCCAAACTTTATCTAACATAACTTTGTTTTTCTTTGTTGCTGAGCTGGTGATTGAACCCAGAGTTTCATGTGCACACTTGGCAAACGCTCTACCACTGGGCGGTAGCTGCTCTAGCCTCAGCCCATGTTCTTCACATGCATATTATCTGGGTGTTTATTAAGTTCCAAGAACTTTTTCAAGACATTCTGGTTTTAGGCATTAAGTTTTCATCTGTCATAGAGACTCTGTCCCAGTAAGGATATTGATAAAATATGTGTAAAGAATAAAATAAAACAGTAGGTACAGAGCTACCGGGGGAAGAAGGCAAATTTGTTGATCAGAAAAAGTGATTTGAGATCTAAACAACAAGAAAGGATTGCCCGTGTGAGCATCAGAAGAAAGAACATTCCAGGGAGAGGGAGCAGGAAATGCAAAGGTGAACTTGGTATGTCTAAAGCACCAGAAGCAAGGTAGGACAGACTGGAACAGAGTGAGGAAAGTTGATTAAGATATGCCAGAAAATAGACTAGAGCCAGTTCACAGAGGGATGTTTGGAAAGAGGAGAGAGGTTTCAGAGTGCAACAGGTCAGAATACTGTTTTGGACACTTGAAGTTTGGGTGGTCTATCAGGAATCCCAGAGTCAGTTTCAAATTGGCAGTTCTGTACAGGAGTCTGAGGCTAAAGAGCTCAGCTAGCATTGGAGATGGAAATCTCAAGTCATCAGCATTTGGGTGGTATTTAAAGCCAAGAGACCAGACCCTATGAGAGCATCTAGTGAGAAAATAAAGCCAAAGAAACAAACTCCAACACCAGGCCATAGGCATTCCAGTCGTAGAAGTCAGTCAGGAGAAGAGATGGGTAAGGAAGAGCCAGGGTAACAACCCGGAGAATATGGTATCACAGAAAAGCAAGAGTAAAAGACGTTTGAAAATGAGTGATTAACTGTCAGTTGCTACTCTGACGTCAAGTAAGATGACAGAAAGTGAACACTGGAATTGACAACATGGAGATAGTTATCGACACATATAAATGAAGATAAGGCTGAAGACTATCATTATTAATATGCCCTTAGAATTCTACTGAATAAATGTTCTATAATATATTTAACTGATTCCCTGTTGATGGGCATTTGGATTACAGTATTTCTAGTTTTGGCTACAGACTCTATAGGCTTATTTTGTAATGTTTTGCCTCCTTAATTAGAGACCACAAATCTTTTATTGCATGACGTATGACCATAAACAATAGCACTGATCATTGTATGGAAGCATATAGATTTTTGTCAGGATCTATTTGGGCTTTTTAGTTATTTGTACACATTTAATATACAGTATTGCTGGAGACCATCCAATGCCAGCTCCTTGACAAAGTCAGGACGGGCAGCGGGTACCTGCAAAGCAGGGACTGCACGGGACGGGTGTGCGGCCTCTCCCTCTACTCTCTATTAATCACAGCTTTCCAGATATTCATTGTGCTGTTGATAAAGGATGGTTGGGGACCTGAAGGATCAGAACTGAAAGTAGTTAAGGAATCAGAGCCCAGGATGAAAGGCACCCCTCCAGGGTTGAAAGGGGAAGTAAAAGCCACCACCATGTCTGAATCTGTAACTAAAATAGAAACCTCATTGTATCTAAGAGTTTCATATGTAATTGCAAAAGTATATAACAAAGCCAAAAACATTTCTCTGTGTCCGAGGAGCCTTGCTCCCCTGGCCCACCAAAAGGACCTCTGGTGTCTGTGTTGTTTGTCTCTTCGCCCATGTCATTCCCTCTTGCAGGAATCTCCTGGACCTGCTGCAGCCAGACTGCGGCACAGTATTCCAACAATTTTCTTAATTAATCTGTCTTTTTTGTGTGACTCAGAGAACTGAAACTTTATGTGACCAGTCACTGCATAGTATCACAGTCAGAAAAAATGCCAATCTAACACAGTCTCCAGGTCATTAACCCTCTAAGGTCACCTCCAAGTCAAATGAAAACAGACAAAAATGGAAAGAGATGTGTACTGTGGAACTCTCAGGACTGTCTTTGCAGCTGCCTGTGAAGCTATAATTATGTCAAAGTGAAGACATTGTTAAAATGGTAAAGGAGAAACACATTCTCAGTCTCAGGAAAACTTCCTTATGTCCTGTCTTCTTCATCTGCTTTCAGGACACCACATACTCTTTCAAATGAAACCTGATTGTTGGGGTTTTACCTAGAGTTCCCTTTTCCTAATCTGATCTTTCTACTCCTTCACGTATAATCTTTTTTCTATAAAAAAAAGAGACACACACAAAGAGACAGGCTTGAAGCCAGGGGTGGTGGTGCACGCCTGTAATCTCAGCACTCAGAAGGCTGAGGCAGGAGGATCACTGCGAGTTCAGGGCTAGGCTGGGCTACATAGTAATTTCAAGACCAGCCTCAACTACATACTGAGACCCTGCCCAAGAGAGAGACAGAGAGAGGCAGACAGACACAGAGACACAGAGACAGAGACAGAAGTTTGACTAGTCATATTTATATCTTTTCTTGTTACATATAGTTGATGTCTTTCCTTCTGAGAATGTCACTAATGCTATTACATGTTCACAAATGGCACAGCCTTAATATGCTGCTTCTAATTCAAGGGGTGAGAATTCAGATGCTTGCAATCGTTGTCACAACTATTAATAAACTATAAGGAAATACCTGAATGATATCCTGATTAGTTACTGGGTGGATAATATCCCTTAGTTATTGCAGACTGATCAGGTCAAGTGTACAGTGAGAGCGAAATGAAAAGAGGTGAATGGAGTGATTTCAGGGCTCCAGGAGGATCAAAGCCCTCTCACATTTGAGATTCTCTCCGGGCTAAGACCAAGACCATCCCTGGGTCGTCTGCATTTATTTGGTTATCAGAAGAAGGGAGGGGAGTGCTCAAGAAGGGCAGAACCACTCCAGGAGTTCTCTAAGTAAGGTACTAAACTAATCCTTAATAAGGATTAAATTAATCCACCAGGGAGTGAGATGCCTAAGGCTATAGTCTTTATCCAATTGAGATCCAATCCAGGTGTCTTTGCTGTGATCTTGTTTTATCCTTTGAGGCTTTCCGGTTTCATCTGCCATTACAGGCTTTAGTAGAGATTAGTGACTCACAGAGGTTCATTTACTATGAGTCCACCATCCATTTCCAGACAAGGAGCGGAGGCCTTGGACAGACTCACAAGTGAACATGAAAAGTCAATTGATTAATTTAAGTCCTGCTCAGGGCTGCTTCATAGTGGTCTCCGTCAATGAGTAAAATGCATAAAGTTTCATGTAAGGGTTTTTGTTGTTGTTGTTGTCTTTTTGAGGCAGAGTTTTGCTATGCAGTTCAACTTGGCCTTGAACTCACTGTGTTGTCGAGGGTGGCCTCAAACTCAAAGTAATCCTCCTGCCTCAGCCTCCTGAGTGCTCATGTAAGGGTTTTTAGACCTCTTTCTGTATTTTTAGCATAGTGCCTGGTGCATTAGGTATTGAATAAATGCTATCTCAATGACCAATTCTACTTCAGTCTTCCTTCTTGTTATAGATCTACTTAGATTTTTATTTGTTCTTGAGTCAGTTTTGATAGGTTGTATCTTTTGAAATGTACCCATTTATCTTGTTTAAATGAAGACAGGATATTACCAGAAATAAAAAGCATTCCTTTATAATCCTTTTTATTTCTGGTAATATCCTGTCTTTCATTCTTGACTTTAATAATTTGATCTCTACTGCGTCTGAGTTTTGTTATAAATTTATCATATTTTGTAGTCTTTTCAGGAGCCAGGGTTTTGGATTTGTTGATTTTCCCTGTTGTTTTTTCTTACTCTGACTTTATTCTCTTTTGTTGCTTATTTTAGGTTTTTCTAGTTTCTTGAAATGAAGCTTGGTATCTTAATACTGTTATAATACAGATATTAGAGTTATGCTTTTCCCTAAGCACTGCTTTTGCTGCATCCCGTGAGTTTGATTTGTTATGCTTTTATTTCATTCCTTACAAAGTATTTTCTAATGTAATTTGTGATTTCTTCTTTGAAGGTGTATGTTTAATTTCTACATATTTGTGAATTTCATGGATATTTCTCTCTGTTTAACTTTAATTTTGTTCCACAATGCATAGAGATTATATTTTCTGTATGATTTGGATCTTTTAAATTTATCAAGACATAGTATAGCCTGCCATAGATCCATCCTGGAGTATGTTCCACATGTCCTTGAAAAGAATTTGTATTTTTCTGTTGTTAAAGTGTTCTGAAT